TGGATCCTACTTTGATTATCGTCTTCCATCTTGTTGTATATCTCGCCCTCGAGATTCAGACCCCCTTGTTTGGAACCTCTGCACAAATTCATTATCATCTGAAAGAAGACCTTCATTGTACCTATTGTACCAGTTCTAGCGAGTTCTTCCAATTGAAGCAGCAGACTTGGGCATTCTGCCAAAATCGGACCCAATGGTTTCCCGGTAGCATAGGGAAGGAAAATAACAGTATTTACCAAGTCCCAGGTGGCGTAATCAATCTCACCGTTTCGCATTCCGTATCTGTAAGTTTCTGCCAAGCCCAACCCGATTTCCTTTCCTCCAAGTGGTTTGATCCATGTCAAACCAAAGGTGAGTGTTCAGTAGAGATACTCGCTTGTACGTGTATTTCCGGACATCTCTTGGACGCGAGACGCCAATTCAAAGATTCGTAATGCTGTTTCGTAGTCTTGCTGGACAAGGACAACGGTCGAGCCAAGCGTCCCGAAAGCAATACCTGAAAACTCATTCGACCCATATTTCAGTGTCATCTCGATCAGTTTGCAACAACAAATTGTATGTAGATAGATATTCCCATTGTTGTAAGAAGCATACTTGATGTAGGCGAGGATGGAGGCGATTGCTTTCTCCTTTGGGTCTGACATTGTCCCAATACTCGCAATGGAATGCGCATCCAGCTTCTTGACCTTCGAAAGTACGAGCATCAGCTTCACAATTGCCTGTGCTGGGACCAAACTCTTGCTTAGAACTAGCTTGCAGCCAAGTTCTTTCAATACAGCCAGACCATAGGCAACCGCCTCTTCAAACTTCAAGGCTACTTCCGACAGTGACTTTGCCTTAGACAACTTGAGTGGAAGCGTCTCCATTATTGAAAAGTTACCATAATTCAGTATATCCTCTCGATACTTTGCAGCCATTTCGACATTTCCCAAGATCATCTCCATTTCTGCCGCCAAAGTGTAAAGTCTTAGCGTCAATGGGCGATTGTCGACCCATCGTTTATCTGATAGGAGCCTTAATCCGTGAATTGCGTAGTTCCTCGCAGATTCAAAAGCACTGATGCATCTCGCTTTCTCTGCAGCTTTCATGTTCATAGTCGCAAAGTCGGGCCGTCTTCTCAGGTTTCCATTATTGATCAAGTCTGCAACATTGAAAAGATCATCTTCAAGCTCCTTTGGTCTCAAGCGGTAGTATAGAGTTGTCCCGATGTCAAATTTTATGGATGCACTAACATCACCTCTAAACCCCAAGGCCGCCTCTTGGAGCTTGTCATGTACCCACCTTATCGTGCTACCATCCATTGATTTCTCGAAAAATTTCTCTTGAATAAGTGATTCCAGTAGTGCTGAGAGAGGCTCATTGTTTTCGGGTGCCATCATTTTGCCATGGGTTGCCCATATGACGGCCAGGGTTCTTTCCTTGAAATTTGGCCCAAGATATGCAGCAGCGATTTTGGCAACTTTCTCATCCGTTCCTGTAGCAGCACGACCACATTTGCAGTGGACATGGTTGATTCTTCAATGATTACAGGATCCCAGACCCATTTCTTCAGTGATGTGTCGTATGCGAGCAAACCTTCGGCTTCGAGCATCTTCAGAAATTCAACAATAAAGAATGGATTTCCATTCGTCCTCTTCCGACACAGCTCCGCTAGAATCTTTGTGCGACTGTCTTTCTGCGATGACATCGCTGTGGTGGTGATATTTTCAACAGCCTCAGCTTCCAATGGGTCTAGTGTAATTTCTGTCATATTGAATTCGTAATATTTTGTCTTTTCCTGCAGTGTTCCAATCTTGTTGAATAGTAGACTATTCTCATGGACCTCATTCGATCGATACGTCACAATGATCGTGAGCTTATTCCCATTTTCTCTATCAGATATGAGTGAGTCCATTACTTGAAGTGACGATATGTCTGCCCAATGCACGTCATCCAAGACGAGAACGATTGGGGAAATCTCTTGGCACAAAAGACTCGCGTGAGGGCTCGGAAAGCATACTTCAAGCGCTCCAATCCGTTTTCGAGCTCATCGTAGTCTAGGGTTACGACGGGTTCGGTGGTAGTACTCGATCCACCAAGAATGTCCTTGAGAGAAGGTATCAGATGGCTCAACAATTGCAACTCGTCTCTCACAAAGTCATTTCGTATGGCACTTGATATCGATTCCAATCTTTGAGCACCTTTGACCTTCTGAAAGGCTTTGTTGAAGATATCAGCTATCGCCGAATAAGGTTCATCGCCGGACGTCATTGCAAACTTTCCAGTAATGAAAATACCGCTGTGGGTCCTAGCGATCTCTTCTTCCAGGGTTATTTGCACGATGCTAGATTTGCCGACACCTGATAGCCCACTTAGCCTTATTGTTTGTTGACGCGTCGTCGTTCGTCAGCAGAGAGTACAAGCAACCTTTTAGCGTTGCAATTTCCTTGTCTCGACCAATCAGTTGACCCGAGTGAAATTTCAATTGTACATCACTGCGTTTGGTTGTTGTTGTTATTATGGATGAACAAGCACCTACTACTGCGTTCCCCCCCCCCCCATTTTGCAGAGATCCTAGAAGGATCATCTTTTGGTCGTAGTTCGGAAGCCTTCAGCGATCCAGTAGTAGTAGAGGATCTGGCAGTGGAGGCTACTGTCCCGGTCGAATACCTTGAGGTCGTGACTTCCATGGCAATCGCATCGGTTGTGACCGAAAGAAGGGCATCGTCATCACCAAAGACCGATGGGACTTCTGCATCATCATCTTGCAGCACGCAGATCTCTTGGTGAAGCTGAACAGGCCCAGGTAAAGGTCGCGAGTCAGTTTCCATATCTACCATCATGAGATATTCTTTCAAACTACCGGTACAGTATCTGCATGGTGAGATCGATTACAATAACAAGCACATTATATTTACCAAAAGACACCGGCACGGTCAGTCTGACCTCCACCTCCAACACAACGACTACACCCGGCTTGCTCGCAGAAATACTGCTCGCAGAAACAGCGAAGACAAAATATTACACACATCACACATCACCACATAAAAAACATCACCACCAGAACGCACTGTTGCTGTCCTTTTGTTTTGTGTTGTTC